GGAGGAGGAGGAGAGGAGGATGAGTGGGCGGGAGGGCTCGGGGCCGATCGGTGATCGGCGACGGTGATTGACGATGACGACGACGGTCGTCGACGGCGACGACCGACGACGACGACGATGGACGACGAAGACAACAGTTGACGCCGCCGATCGGCGAACGGCGACGACGACGACGACGTCTTTAAAGTGCCACCCCGAGGAGCCCCAAGACGGCCCAAGAGGGACCCAAGATGACCCATGATAGCTACAAGCCAGCCCAAGAGAGCCCCAAAAGGCGCCCAACAGAGCCACAACGGGGGCAACCAGAGCTGCCTATGGAGATTTTCGGGAGGCCTCCTCCGCAGCGTCCGAAATCATGTTCCCCGAAGCCTCTATCGGAACATGATTTCGGGGTTCCCAGGGCGCCCAAGGGGGCCCTAAGACGGCCCCGACAAGTCCTGAAAGGACGCTCGAAAAAAAAACGGAGGGACATAGTCCGTTGATGTCCGCGAAATGTTGTTGGGTTTTTTTGCACGCGGAAGCGGCGGCGGAGGAGGAGGAGGAAGAGGAAAGGAGGAAGAGGAGATGGACGAGGAGGAGGAGGAGGAAGAGGAGGACGATGGGGGGAGGAGGGGGGGGTGGAAAGAGAAGGGGGCGGGGGGGGGAGGCGGGGAGAGGGATGATGCTGATGGTGATGATGATTACGATGCTGGTGATGATGATGATGATGATGATGGGGAGGAGGAGGAGGAGGAAGAGGATGAGGAGGAGGAGGAGGCGAAGGAGGAGGGGGAGGAGGAGGAGGAGGAGGAGGAGGGAGGAGGGGAGGAGGAGGAGGAGGAGGAGAAGGAGGAGGAGGAGGAGAAGGACGAGGAGGAGGAGGAGGATGGGGGCGGAGGAGGAGGAGCAGGAGGAGGTGAGGAGGATGTGGAGGAAGAGGAGAACAGGAGGAGGAATAGCAAGAGGGAGGCCTCCCCCGAGTGGTCCCTTTTTTATCCGATGTGGTCCAATGCTTGCGCGGCGTCGCACTGCCGTTTAGCGGGCCATGTAGTCTGACCAGGAGGAGGAGAAGGAGCAGGAAAAGGAGGAGTGAGAGGAGGAGGAGGAGGACGACGACGAGGGCGAGGAGGAGGACGAGGAGGAGGAGGAGGAGGAGGAAGAGGAGGAGGAGGGAAGGAGGAGGAACATGATGAAGATGCTGATGGTGATGGTGATGATGATGAGGAGGAGGACGAGGAGGAGGAGGAGGAGGAGGAGGAGGACGGAGGGAAGGAGGAAGAGGTGTGGAGGAGGAGGAGGAAGAAGAGGAGGAGGAGGAGGAGGAGGAGGAGGGAATGTAGGAGGAGAAGGAGGAGGCGGAGGAGGAGGAAAAGGAGAAGGATGAGGAGGAGGGAAAGGAGGGGGAGGGGAGGAAGGGGGTGGAGGAGGAGGAAGGGGGGAAAGGAGGGGACGATGGGGGGAGGAGGGAGAGTAGGAGGAGAGGAGGAAGAGCAGGGGGAAAGAGGGGGGCGAGGAAGAGGTGTCGTTTTCGGCCGCCTCGGGCCGCCTGGGGGTGAGGAGCGCCCAGAAGCTTTTCGAACCACGACCACGAAACCCGACGAATAACCGAAGTGCATTCAGCCTTCAACCTCGTCGTCCGTTGTTTGGCCGTTGCCCCGGACGAAGCTAGAACCTAAACGCGCGCGTAGCGCGCGCGTGGTTCTAGTATCTATATATATATATATATATATATATATATATCCTTGTCCTTCCGCCGATCTGCAACTTTGAATTCGATTAGATTCAAAGGTAGGCCTCTTGCACGCCCCACGCGGAGGGTTTTTCAGAACAACTAAGGCCGCGGCCCTACGGGCGGGACCGTATGGGCAACCACCGCAATGGAGCCACAACGGGCATCCACGGCAAAACCTCTGTTGGCGGGATCTGTTGCAACTACGGCCTCGACCGACCGAACGAAAAGAAGTTGTTGGCGACCCGGCCGCAGGACCGAGCCAAGAACATTCAGGAAAGGTCCGATCGAAGGATATCGTTGACGAACAGTGCACACGACCTGGGCGGGAGCAGTCCAGAACTAGAATTGGGCCGAACGAAGGAAATCATCGGAATCCAGAGCATTCTTGTCATTGTTGACTCCAGATGGACGCGGTGTAATTCATGGGAGTCGCCAAGCAAGCCAGCAGACAGGCAGGCAAGCAAGCAGGGCACCCTGTGCTGGACTGCACGTGCGACCCGCCAACCCCCACGCGCAACCCAGGTAGATCTAGTCCCGCTGGGGATAGCACGGATCAAGTCCAGATCCGATGTTTCAGGTTGCTCGAACTTCGCAGGCCCTTTGCAAGAACAGGGCCGAGCCGGCAGCAGTCGGGAACAGGGCAAAGACAAAGAGAGTTCTCGACAATTTGAGCACAGGTCCGAGCCCCGGGAACAGCTGGCAAAACACAACCGAACGAAGGAATTTCTAGGCAACCAGGACAGGATGAGGCCAGGTACATTCGGGAGCGAGGCCGAGCGAACAAAAGTGCCAACAATCTGGACACAGGATCGACCTAGCCATTGCTAGTCGCAGGACCGACAGGAGAAGAAACGGTCGACGACCAGAGTTTGTTGGATAGGCGGTGCTTTGGATCCAAGTTGTTGTCGCGGCTATGCCGGCCTGGGCCGGGCGCCGGGCGGGCGCGCCCGCGCCGCCCTCCCCCGCGGCGCGATGTCCCTGAACCCGCGGGAGCTCGGGACCACTGGCGCGACCCTGATCTTCCTCTACGGGCTGCCGAACGACCTGCCGCGGCACGTGAAAGGTAAGCTGAACGGCGAGCACCCGAACTGCTCGAGGCCGACGATCGAGTTCGTCAGGGGCTTGGTCGGCTTCATCTGGCTCCCGGTCGGGGTGCAGCTCGTGTTCATTTTCTACATGGCCAACCTGGTGCTGAATGCCCACAGCGCAGAAAGCCGGCTGGCGGAGCCCGATACGCCGTGGTTCTTGATCACGATTGCCATCGTCGTGCTCTGGTTCCACTGCTTCGGCACGCTGCCTCTCGGCGTGCGCGCCCTCATGTTCGTCCACGACGCAGGGGGCGGCACTCACGAGATGGCCGAGGGGGCCGCTTATGACGAAGGTAGTGATGAAGATCCTCTTCCTCCAGCGCAGACGGGGCCGGCGATGACCTCGGCCGCGCAAACGCTGGGCCCGTCCACCCTCATGTTGGGACAAAGTTGGGCGCTCGCGTCGAGACCTGGCGGCGACTACGGCTACCAGCAGCTCAGAGATGCGGTAATCAAGAACAAGACGATTCTCGGAATGTGCGCTGTGCACGAAGAGGTCCAGACCATCGAGATAACAGTCGATGGCAGCCACAGGCCAGGCGGGCACCATGAGTGAGTGGTACGTGCCGGTCGTCGCGTCTACTTTCTGATTATTTTGACAGGTTTCTTATGCCACTGCTGATCGTATTCATCGGCGGGCTTTTTTTATGCACCTCCAGATCGCCCGGGAACTCGGTCGTGAATTCAGCCGTGGTTGTATGTATTAACGGGATCGACGAGATAGTCATGCTCGGAGGGTCCTACACATCGAACCTGGTCTGGGAGTTCAACCTCCTGCTGCTACCCAGGTGGTTCTGGAAGTGGTACAGCAAGTTGTGCCGCGAGTGGGCGATCGTCCTCTTCGGGGTTGCCTTGTTCACCATGTTCGTCGGGCGCTTCGTCCTCATCCTGTGATGGCCCCTGGCGCGGTCGGGGGCCACTGGTGCGCCTCGTGCTGGCCTTCTTCCAGCCCGCTGGGTGAGGGCGGGACCCATTCTCGCCCATCCCCAGCTCCGTCCTCCTCCTCCTTCTCCTCCTCCTCCTCCTCTTACTCCTTGTCGTCTCAGTAACGTCAATTGTACGCACAAGGCGCTTCTGGCTCGCCGCGTGATACCACACTCGTGGCAGCCACGCGTGCAGTGCTGAACCGTTTCGCCCTCGCTGCAATGGTTTTTTCTCCAGCGGTTCATCGAGTCGGCGTGGGCTGGGCCATTCCCTTTGGTCATTGGTCCCAGCGCCCCCTAGCGAATCTCCAGTTCTCTCATCAGTTCCGGCAGTCGCCGCAGGACTGGGGTGACCGTTGGATCGAAGATTTCGTTGTCGACCTTTTTTAACGTGCACTGTTCAACCCTTTGGTGCAACCCAGCGTTGTAAAATTTTGCGCGGGGCGCAAGTCAACATCGGGGGGCCTCGCCTGTGCCGCCCCTTGCGCGGAGCGGCGAGCGAGCGGCGCCCGCGCCGCCCTCTGCGCGGCGCAGCGCCGCCCTTCGGCGACTGCGAACTGCCAAGGCCTTACGACCAGTGCCGGCGACCCTGGAGGCGGGACCCTCCCGGGACCCCCGCTGGCGCCCCCTCCAGGGACCCAGCGGGGCCCCCGGGGGGGGGCGGTATTCTGACCGGGGGCCACCCTCCCACACCACAGGCGGGAGCCCCTCCCCCCAGGACCCCCCATTCACAGAGGCACCGCCCCACGTCCGCGCAGGACCCCCCCCCGCACCCCCTCTCCTACACCCCCGTGCCCCCGCCCCCCCCCCCCCCATTAGGAAGGGAATTAAGGAGAGGGAATATGTTCGTTTTCTGTTTGTCGCGACTGACGACGACGACGACGACGACGACGACGACGACGACGACGACGACGACGACGACGACGACGACGACGACGACCGCGACGCCGCCGACGACGGCGGCGACGACGACGCCGACGACGACGACGACGACGACGGTGTCTCACACACGCCGCAGGGTCGGCAGATTTCCTTTGTCTGTTGAGATAGACCTTGCGGTTAAGTCAGTTCAGTTTAGCCAGTTGTCAACATTTTTGGGATGTGGGGTAACCGATTGGATCGATGTGCTGCTGTAAGTTTCAAAAGGTGGTTTCCTTTGACGATTTGGCTGCTGTTGTCGCTGTTTGTTTCTACATTGTCGGTTCCACGAGAGCGTGCCCGGAGTGACGTTTTCTTTGCCAGCCCGTGTGCGTTAGCCATAGCAACCATTGCGGACGCTTGTCTATTCAGGTAGACAATGGGATGCGATGTACAGATTGAGCTCAAAGTGGCCTCTGCAGTGCGTTCTAAAACCCAGTGGCGCTTCCAATCAATAGCCTTATCCCCCTCCTTCCTCTCTCTTGTCCTCCTCCTCCCCTCCTTCCCTCCTCCGTGGACTCGTTGTGCCGAGTTGGTCCGACCAGGTGGCGGGCCCATGTTCTAGCTGGGACGGCTGGTCCGGTGGCAGTGCCCAGCCGTAGACCTGCCGACATGCCCTGCGTGGGCAGTCCTCCTCCCTTTCCCTCCCTCCCCCTCCGCTCGCCATCTTGCTGACCGCCGCAGATGACGTGTGGTCGTGCATCCCGAGCCGGATGAGCTCAAAGACTGCCGCCCTCCGAGGGCCTGCGCGTCTCTGCTGGCAGCGTCGTGCTGGTTGGCTTCCTCCCTCCCTCTCCTTTGCTGGGCGCTGCCCGAAAAACTCTCGGGCCCGCCCTGTCCCGTCTCCGGTCCTCGTCGCCACCTCTTGGATGCTCTTCTTCGCCTGCCGCGGTGACGCGGCGGTGCTACAGATCGGAACTCTGCCTCGACTCAGCGCGTGGCGGGTCGTCGAAGCGGGATGCCGTCCGCCGCACGAGCTGCGCAGAGGGCAAACATGTCTTGTTGTCCCCAGCATCCTCAGAGCGATAACGCCGCTTTCTTCCTACAGCCTGCCTTGGGTGCGGCGGTGTCGCAATAGCAGGGAGCACGTCTTTGTGCCATTCGCTTCAGCGTGCTTTCGAATGACGGGCAGACCCGGCGTGTTGAGCTGGCCTGCTAATGGAGGTAGCCCCTCCACCCCTCCTTTCCCTCCTCTCCTCCTCCCCCTCCGCTTCAATGCCCGTGCGACGCCAGGATGTCCTGGTGGACTGGGCTGTCCCGGTCATGATGCGTGCGCCCGGCTGTACCTTGTAGATTCCTGGCTGTCCATGGCCACTTTGAGTACCGTGTCGCTGGCACGGGCCCCGCGTAGGGAAGCAGGCGCGAGTCTGGAGCCTTGCACGTGCGGGCTAGGGGCTGCGTTGATTCCGAGCGCTGCGTGTGCAAAAAAACAACCACCTCCCCCCCAGCGATTTGGGCCAGAACACCATTACTCGTGAGAAAAAACAGGCCCTGCGCAATGCACCCCTGGCACTTGCCACCCATGAGCTCGCTGCTGACCTCGCAAACCCCGACTTTCCGAAGATCCAGATTGGCATCCTGGACGAGGCTGGCCAGTCTACCGAACCCCTTGCCGCCATACCCCTTGCCATCACAGCCCACAGTGGTGGACAGCTCGTCCTGTGCGGTGACGACAACCAGCTGTGCCCCCAGTGGTTTCCCCCCGTGCCGCCGCGCTCGGATTGGCGCTCTCCGTGTTCACCAGGCTCCACTACTCCCTCGGGAGAGGGGACCACAACAACGTGCTACTCGACGGCTGGTACCGGATGGATGCACCCAAGTATCCTACAGTGGGCGTCCTTCTGCTTCAACGAACGGAGGCTGCCCTCCAGCCTGGCGCAACCAATCACGCAGAGACCACTACTCCACGGACTCCCCTGGAGAAGGGCCAGCCCCCTGCTGCCCCCCCCGGCGACGACAGCAGCAACCCCTTTCACATCGGGACGGACGGTTTCCAGAACGCTCACGCGGCGCACAGCCGGGGAACCACATCTGGGTCCACGTCGTTCACGAGAGGGCGGCAACGCTCACCACCAGCCTCGTGGAAGGCATTGCCAAACTCAGGGAGGCTGCCTCCGTCTGCGGCATCATCAGGACCGTTGGGGATCACCTCTTCCAGACCAACAAGCGGGTCCTGATCGTTTGCGGGTGCCGCATCCAAGTAGCCCTCATCAGGAAAGGGTGGCCCAATGATTCCGCAGCCTCCCTCCAAGCCTACCACGACAAGCCCGCCGCCAAGGGAAAAGGTGCGCCACTCCCCAGGGGTACCCCTCCCACATCCCACGCCTCTACCCCACCAAACGCCAGACACCCACCCAAAGGACCAGGGAAGGGCAAAAGCGGCCCCGCTAGACCGCTGTGTGGCCGGCACACACTTACCCCCCTTAACGACTTGGACCTCCATTTCCGTGGTTTGGAGACATGATGCCCCTGGCTCTTCGAACAGGGATTCATCAGCGTGTCAACGATCGACGGCAGTCATGGAGATGAAGCGAACCTCGTTGTCCTACACACTACAAGGGCCAACTCCACTGGGCAGTGGGGTTTGCACCGCATCAACGTTGCCTTCACCAGGGCTCAAGACGGCGTCATCGTCATGCTCAACGCCAAGATGGCCGCCGCCGCAACTGAGTCACAGATGCACGTCCTCGCCGACTGGGCAAAGAACGCCGGCCTGTGGACCCAATTCACAGGCAGCCCAGGGACCCGGAGCGAGCTCGGAGAGACCCCCGGTTTCTCCCTCACCAAGGTCCAGCAGGCCCCCATCGGCCCCGACACCCTTACCCCCACACAGGATGACCTGGCCCGACTCACGGTAGAGCAGGACCAGCGCAATGAAGAGCGCGAGGCCCAGAGGATTGCAGACCAGCGTGACTTGTGCTTCCAGACCCTTTACGACAGCGGCTTACCCCCAAATCACAGTCGGGAACGATTGGGCGAGGAACTACAGGACACAGGCTCCAGGCTTCTCAAAGACCCCGCCCTAGCGCTCGTTCTTCAATGCGTTCTCAGCCTCCACCCTCACCAGTACTACCCAAGCGACGCACCACGGGACCTTTTCGAGCAGTGCCGGAAATTGGCGAGCCACGTCGATGGCTGCTTCTACGACGGTGAACTTGGACTGGACCCCTCCAGCTACGTGTACACCGCCTCATGGGCATGTTGCAGGCTTCAGGACTGCAGCCCAGCTCCGACCCAGAATTCGGCATCGGAGAAGACAGGCTATCCCCACCACCCTCCGGGCGACGCCCGGAAAGCCGTTGGAGGCGGCCAGCGGACCAGCCCCCGGCTGGCACCATCAGGTTTCCCCTCGCGCCTGGAGTACGACAACTTGTGAGTACCAGCGCCACCAGGGCCAACCCAGCTTTGAGCACTTAGCTGCCCTCACTGGGCCAAACGCGCGCCAGGACGCGATCATGGGCGGCCTGCTGCGCGACCGTGCCGGGGAACCCATCCCACGAGCCTGGGCCAACGCCACCTTGATTATCACGGTCATACTGATCAGGGAGCCCCGCCCCACACTGGACCCCACGGGAGCCCCAGCCACATGGGGGACATCCTGGAGGCTGCCCTGGGCATCTGCGTGCCATGCAACAGCGCGCGCCTCCCCGTTCGCGACAGCTTCGGCGGGGCGCACAACCTCTCTGATGACGACTTTCGCCGACTCCACGGCCGTCTCGAAGCCTTCATCAAGGCATGCTCCAGGCTGGTCACTGTCGCCCACCGCCACCCCGAATTCGAACCGCAGCAGCAGACCACAACATGGAAGGCGGCGGCCCCATGCGACTTCCCACTGAGGCACAGCCTTGCGGCCTGCTCCCTGTAAACGTCCCCGGCCGACCTCTCAAGCTTCTATCCGCGCCCGCACGAGCGCGCCATCTGCATTCTGTCCCAGGCCCTGCTCGGCTCATCGCTCGGGCTTCTCTCCGAGGACCTCCCCTCCACAGCCCCGCAGTACTTGGGGGGGTGCTCTCTGGTTCCGGGAGGGGCCTCCACCTCGCGCCCCCGACGGGCGCACTCTCGGGTGCCAACCCCCCCCCCGCCAGCCCTGCAGCCGGGCGACAATCGCTTCCACGCAACTGCGCAGCCCCCCAGCATCTACCGCGAAAACTGCGGACGAGGCCCCCGCGACCCCCGCGAAGACAACGGGTGCGCATGGGTCGACCCCGAGACAAGGAAGCCGGCAGCGGCTAGCCAGCTGGAGCACTACAGGAGGGAGCAGGACTGCCGATGGCATTGCGCAGCCTGCCATAGGACGGACATCTCCACCCGAGGCCTCCCCGTACCGACGGACGACAAGATTGCCGCCCACTTAGCCAGCATCGCGGGCACGACGCCCGCCCCACGCGAACGCGCGCCTGGCCCCCTCCCGGCAGGCTCACCCCATGGCCGACCCCGACGCAGGCACTGCGCTCTCGGCGCTGCTTCTCCGGCCGCGCGGCCGCCGGGGCCCCTCCCCCACCAACGCGACCGTCCCCATTCAGCGAGCCACTGATGACATATTCAGCCAGGACAGCAAGCGCAGTTCTTCGAGGCGCATGCGCGATCGCTGCCCCAGCGACGAGCCCCTCCTCGAGTGGCCGAGCGGAGAAGCCCCGCCAGGCACGTTCATCTTCCGGCAGGGGGACAAGCCCTGAGACGCCAGCGCTCACGCCCCCCCCCCCCCCCCACTCCGCGACCGTGCCCAGCTCTTTGCGACCAAGCAGTGCGACGCCACGCAGCGCTGCGCAGACTGC